AGGGAAGGAGTTGATCAGTGGGGCCAGCAGACCCCCTGGAGTACCCTTGTTTCCCCAATGTGCAGAAAGCGCTGGGAGGGAAGGGGAGGAGCAAGGATGGGGCATGCTTGGGGGAGGGGGTGGAAAGAGGTGGGGAAGAGGAGGGGGAGGGGTGAAGTGGGGGGTGGGGCTTGCAGCTGAGCAGGGGGCTTGGGGGTCTGTGAAATTTTTAAAATCAAAATGGGGGTCCTCGGGTTGCTAAAGTTTGAGAACCACTCCTCTATATTACTGTACTCTTCATTATTTACCACTCCCCCATTTTTTGTGTCACCTACAACTTTATCAGTTACAATTTTAAGTTTTATTCTAGATCATTGGTAAAAATGTATTAAATCTTAACATTTCTGTAACAAAGTCTTTGTTTGTGAATATGCCTAGATACCTTACAAGAACATACATAAAAATTTTCTGTCTTGAATAGCTTATAATCTAATGATTGCATCATGTTATGTTGTGCAAAATCCAGGAGATAACCCAACTTTTCAAAAATTAATCAAATACAAGTCTTTATTGAGGATAGGTAAATAAAACAAATATGGAATTTGATATCTGGAAAAGATGTTAAAAAGTGAACTTCCAAAGAGAGTTAGAACAGTGTTCAGACTATTATATGTCATGAGTATCTTCCGTGAGCTTCCCTCATCCCCATAAATCATACTTCTCTTGAAACAGATGAATGCACATAAAAACTGTGAGCCATATTGGTTGAGATTTCTTGACATTAAAGAGGGAATCAAAATCAGGCTTATACCGGAAAGGAAATCATTACCTTAACACTGTATCTATCATTCAAAAGGGATTTGGACATCCAAATCCATAGACAGTTTTCACAGTCTCACCCTAGACATTCATGTGCTGCAATACACTCACTTTCAAAATACTAATCCTTTAAGACTGGGACATATACATATTACCATTTTGTTACAGTGAAACATTTTACATAACCAAAGAAACAAAATGCAATTCGAATGTTATTTTTGTAATTTCACATGTTGCCAAGTAGTCAAGTACCATACATTATGTCCATTTATGCAGTAGCTTATATTTTAATATATTTTCTATAACATTTAGAATGTTTGTTCAGTGTGTGTGTGTCTGTTTGTGAGCGCACATGCATACATGCATTTGGACATAGCAAAATAATTAATGTTAAATCTCTGCTCTGTTTTCCCCATTCACACATCATGTCTTGTAAGCTACATTTAAACAAGTGCTTTCTACATCTTTGGAATGGCTGTAATTTAATTGTGTAGACTTAATCTGTGTTTTGTGTGAAATATTTGACCATTGCCTCCTATCAGAGCACACTTGTTATTTATTTTCACACCTCTCTTTCAGAGTCTGAAGAGCATATGGTAGTCTGTGTAATATTGCCTGAGATGTTGAAAGCAGAAGAGAAGAGGATGTATTTTTTTAATATCAAGAGAGCAACATCAGAATGCATTGGCTCACTTGCTCCAGGAATACATGTACCCTAGATAGTCTTAGACTTCATTAAATCTTTTCTGTGGTTAACTCTTGTATGATAATTATTTTGCAAAGATATGAAGGAAATGGGTAAGCCGGCCTGATATAAATATGTGTGAGAGAATTTCTCCATGATTTCCCACTCTTCCCAATGTATAATGTGATTATATTTGCAGAGATTAGTGATGGGATGAGTTGAGTGACAATTCTGGCATATTTTGTGCCTTTATTGAAATTTCCCTGCCATGATTTTTATGTATTTCAGGGTTAAATCTTGAAACTTCTAAGTGAACTCAAGCTGGAAGCATTTTATCAGCTCCAAAAAGAGGAGCTGTGGTAGTAGGCCTGAGGCACTATAATAGAGTTGAAGTAGTAGCTAAGTACACTTTTTGGAATCACAATGGGTATCTTTCAGAGTAGCAGCCGTGTTAGTCTGTATTCGCAAAAAGAAAAGGAGGACTTGTGGCACCTTAGAGACTAACCAATTTATTTGAGCATGAGCTTTCGTGAGCTACAGCTCACTTCATCAGATGTGTACCGTGGAAACTGCAGCAGACTTTATATACACACAGAGAATATGAAACAATACCTCCTCCCACCCCACATGGGTATCTTATCTGTCTATTCTCACTTCTTCCCTCCCCCTCGCCCAAAAGTTTTGAATCAGGTTTTAAACAGCTTTAAAATAATTGGGGGGGGAGGGCGGGTGTTAAATGGTAACATGCTAAATATATTAAGCTATGGTTCTCCTGTCCTTTGGAAAAGAGGGCTATGACTCCATAACAAGGATTGGAGGGTCATGCCCTCCAGATCCATATGTGGGGGTTGCCTCCACATATAGCTATACCATGCAGTAGAAGGACTCAACCATTTTCACAGCACCATCCCCCATCCTCCTTCACATAAACCACAAGGGTATCCTTGCAGAGATTTCCTCTGTTTGAGCCTCCGATATAAGTTGTAACGTAGTTAGGGAAAGAGAATCTGGCCCAATGATAGTAATTTGGTCCATTCATTGTAACAGGTTTTTCAATTATTGAATGAAACAATGAGAACTGTCTCTTATCCTATATTGACAGGTTTCAGAGTAGCAGCCGTGTTAGTCTGTATTTGCAAAAAGAAAAGGAGTACTAGTGGCACCTGACAGACTAACCAATTTATTTGAGCATAAGCTTTCGTGAGCTACAGCTCACTTCATCAGATGCATCCGATGAAGTGGGCTCTAAGGTGCCACTAGTACTCCTTTTCTTTTTATCCTATATTCTTGCTTCCGACTCTGCAATATGGCACATACTTTGTGTCCTTAAGAAACATTTTGAAAGAAGATCCAGTGTGAAAATAGGATAGAATTGGAAAAAAAGAGGTACCTCATTTTTCTAACAATACATTTTAGATAGAGAAAATTTCAAAAATCCATTCATTGATTCCATCAAGTAACTGGTAGGTTCCTTTTGGTTAGTTTGCAGTTGGACAATTTCATATACATAGAAGAGAGAAACTGTCTGCACAGAGAAACCTATAAACTTACAAACTATGAAATCTGGAACTAAACCCAAATCTGAACTCTGCTGCATAGGTCTATCTATATATTTAATATAGTGATGTTTATTTAAAGGATTTTATTGGGATGATTTAATTCATGGTCTAAATTCCTCTTCTTATAGCAAGAAACATGACAAATTTACTTAGCATAATTTTCCCAAATTTTTTTCTGTCAGTATTATGTCTCAGTTTGCAGTTCCTGAGTCCCAACTGATCTATATTTAACTTCAAGGAAACGTGATTTAGAAGATGTAAAGTTTATTTAAACTACAGAAGTGCTCAAATCAGACTCAGAACTGAGCATCCACCATCCAGAGAAACCAGACTGAAGTAAATGGGTGGCTCTGCATTTGCAATGGGAAGAATCAAAACCCTGGACCTGACCCCTCTACCACCAGGCTTGGGGCTTGTTCAAATCTTTGTTAGCCATTAGTGGAGACACATGCTATGTTCTGTACATGTATCTGTGATGTCATTGAGCCTTAACCCCTATTGTCCATATCTAAACCTCAGAAGCACATGTCTGAAAGTGATTAGAGGGCAAGTAAGTTAGCATTCCTGAATTGTGTGGGTAAGTACACTCCTCAGACTGTGGCACAAGCCTGTACCCATGCCAGTTTGTAGTATGGAAGGGGGTAAGAAGCGTGTATTAGGTTTTGAGATTCAACAGTCTTCCACCCCCATTCCACAATGCAATGAACCCTTTTCTCCCTGACCCTTACCCAATCTATAAAGGACCCTGTTCTGCGGTTTTCAGTGTTCATAGTGAGCTCTGCTGACCACATCAGAACACTTTTCCACTGCACTCTTTTAATCAGTGCAGGTGAATATAGATCCTGCTCTGAGACCAGCTGCCTGGCCCACCAACCACACCTGGGTGCTGATCACTGTGTGGTCAGAATATATCACCCTCCTCAGCTTCACCTGGAATGGCAGAATATACCGCTATGCCAGGAAATTTCATAGAGGCTGGAGCAGGTGGGAGCTGAATGGACTCTGGGAACACATCAAGCACATGAGGCTCTTATACAGGAAGGCAAAAGACTTGACGAGTTGCTATGGGAGAGCTTGTTGTACATGCCCCTTCTATAACGAGAGTACTGAGTGATGTCAAGGATCCCAGTACAGAGCCTAAAGTGACTCTCAATCCCCTCCTCAATCCTGCCAGCCTCATCATCTGATGGGATATTCATGAGGTCTACAGGAAGGAGGCAGCAGGACCATAGAGGGTGCCCTGGAAGACCTGGAGGATGAGTAGCTTGTCATTTTGCACACTTACTCAGAAGAGCCACTTAAGGAAGCCTTTTGACGAACCCGAGGAGAACCCCCAGTCACTGCAGAAACCAGAATCTAAGGCTGGTAATTTACAATGGACCCCCATCACCCTTGCCAATGTCCTCCTCGCCAATATCTCCTCTTGCTCTAGTGCTACCTTTTTTAATTTAAGCCCAGCCCCTGCTCCACTCCACCCTGAAATGGACCCCATGTATACATGACTGTCCTTCTTCAGCTATCCCTCGATACAAGGATGATGTCTGCTAATGGGATTAATTGGTGAGTTTTTAGGTGGCTGAGAAGCCCAATTTGTGCCCTGCAGATTTTCCCAGAGAAGTGACAGGTGTAATCTTGGAGAAGACATAGTTGTTGGCTAGACTGTTGAGCCCTTTCTTTCCTCCTTTGTCACTTCTCTGTCTCATGAGCACATCTGTTCTCCTCAAAGTGGGCTGTGGCTTGGTGTATGGTGTGGCACTACTGTTTGACTGTACTCATTTCAGCAATCAGTGACTATATTGATTTCCCAAGAACCACTATTATGCATTTGGCAGAAGCTATAAATCAGATTATTTAGGAACAATCATTGTGCCTCTGTGTCTATGCATTTCTTGGCCAGCATGCAGTCAGCATGTTACACTAATAAAAATGATATCAACAGGATCTTGTAAGAGGGACAAGGCAAATTGCCACGTTTATTGGAAATACAACAAAATATTCCTATATGCAATTTCTATATAGATCCAGTCACACACACACACATTCACACACAGGTTCTACATAAAGTTTGTTATAGTTACCAGCCTAGATGTTGCTCGTGCCAAGTCACTGACCAGGTGGTCTGGACATAAGAGTGGAGCCGAGTTATTGTCAGATGCGCATCCGATGCTCCTGGAGGGTGGTTGTAGAACTGGACTCAAAGAACACAGACCCAATTTTTATAGGTCTCTGGTTCAATACAAGTCTATGGGAGTTGCTTCATCATGCTGAATTTACAATTGAGATGACCATCAATCAGCTCAATCAGCAGGTGGTACATCCATGACAGCTCTATGATGGCTAGGTGTTATCTTCTTGTTCTTCCTTGATGCGTTTTGGGTGGATTCCGGTTCGCCCTCCGAGGGTCATTCAGTTATCTCCACTTTGCATATTCTTCGGCCCATCGATATCAAGGTTGAAATTCTTAGGATTAGGCTGGCACCATTTACTAACCAATTATTTCCCTGCTTCAGGCTCTCAATTCCATTCACTCATCATTCATTCTTTTACTTAACAACACAATCTATGACTCTTGATTCATTTAACAAGTTTTATCCCACTATCTATTGGATACCAAGATTTACACAGGCATGACAACGGGCCCCCGCGGGGGAAAAGCATCAGGGTGTTTTTTAAAGAACAGCATTGTTTCCTCAAAGTTCTTATCACTTTCCAGCACAGACTCTTTGTCCTGTACCAGCCTGAAATAATTAGCACTTTGGCCTTGCATTTGGTACAGAGTGAAATTCAACAGCATGGAACTGATGTTCACACCTTTTTACAATACCTATATACTCTTTTGTCTATCTTTATTTCTACTACTAAATAATTATAATTCTATCATACTTATATAACTTTGAGGGCGACCCAACAAGCAATGGTCTGGGGGCCATGTAGATTAGGTGGGAAGGGAAGTGGCAGAGTTAGAAAGGTCCTACTTGAGGATGGGGCAGTTGCAGAAAACATATAGTTGTCTGTCTTAAGTTAGTAACAGCTGTCTTTTGTTCCTTGCATGTTTACATGGTTTCAGTGCTTCCCCACCCACTTCCCTCCATCCTGATTTTATCATCCCCTTAAAAAAGGGAGCCACGTGGAATGGTTGGGGTTGGGGTGGAGTAGAGTTCGGTCTGGGAAGGTCAAGGGAACACATTTTATGAGGAAAAGTTAGTCACAGAAGTCCTTTCTCCCTTGGAAGATTACAAAAATTGTCACCATCCCTGTCCCTGGCTTATCCCCACTCCCAGCCATGTTGCACAAGCAAGAAGAAATAGGAGTGGGAGAAGGATCTGAACTGGAAGTTGGATAAACACAGTGTGGTAGTCTTTTGCAGTGAAGAGGTGAGGGGCTTGTGGTACTCCTCTGAAATTTCAGGGAATCAAATAAAGTTGTGGTGTCTGTGTCTCTTTCCTGGTCCATTTCATTGTTGGTAGGCAGGCAGAGTGGCAGGATTTTCTGATGATGGCAGAGAATGGGCAGTTCTCATGGTTTGCAGCTCCCTTTACATGGAGACTCCATACGCTAGCTAAGAATATAGCAAATTTACAGTCAAATTATCTCCTAGTCCAGTGAGCACATTTCAGAAAATATCTGATATAGCAGAAACTCCCACTGGGTCTTAAAATTCAACAGCAGTACAAATCTGTTTGGTTTACCTAAAGGTTTCAGAGTAACAGCCGTGTTAGTCTGTATTTGCAAAAAGAAAAGGAGTACTTGTGGCACCTTAGAGACTAACCAATTTATTTGAGCATAAGCTTTCGTGAGCTACAGCTCACTTCATCGGATGCATACTGTGGAAAGTGTAGAAGATCTTTTTATACACACAAAGCATGAAAAAATACCTCCCCCCACCCCACTCTCCTGCTGGTAATAGCTTATCTAAAGTGACCACTCTCCTTACAATGTCTATGATAATCAAGTTGGGCCATTTCCAGCACAAATTCAGGTTTCTCCCCCCCCCCCCCCACACACACAAACCCACTCTCCTGTTGGTAATAGCTTGTCTGAAGTGACCACTCTCCTTACAATGTGTATGATAATTAAGGTGGGCCATTTCCAGCACAAATCCAGGGTTTAACAAGAACGTCGGGGGGTGGGGGGGGAACAAGGGGAAATAGGTTACCTTGCATAATGACTTAGCCACTCCCAGTCTCTATTCAACCCTAAGTTAATTGTATCCAATTTGCAAATGAATTCCAATTCAACAGTCTCTCGTTGGAGTCTGGTTTTGAAGTTTTTTTGTTGTAATATCGCAACTTTCATGTCTGTAATCGCGTGACCAGAGAGATTGAGGTGTTCTCCGACTGGTTTATGAATGTTATAATTCTTGACCTCTGATTTGTGTCCATTTATTCTTTTACGTAGAAACTGTCCAGTTTGACCAATGTACCTGGCAGAGGGGCATTGCTGGCACATGATGGCATATATCACATAGGTGGATGTGCAGGTAAACGAGCCTCTGATAGTGTGGCTGATGTTATTAGGCCCTGTGATGGTGTCCCCTGAATAGATATGTGGGCACAGTTGGCAACAGGCTTTGTTGCAAGGATAGGTTCCTGGGTTAGTGGTTCTGTTGTGTGGTATGTGGTTGCTGGTGAGTATTTGCTTCAGATTGGGGGGCTGTCTGTAGGCAAGGACTGGCCTGTCTCCCAAGATTTGTGATCATCATGAATAGGTCGGAATATGAACAAGAGGCTGCTCCGCAGCTCTCCAGCACCACTTTCTACAAGCCATTACCCTCTGATCCCACTGAGAGTTACCAAAAGAAACTAAAGCATTTGCTCCAGAAACTCCCTGAAAAAGCACAAGATCAAATCCGCACAGACACACCCCTGGAATCCCGACCTGGGATATTCTATCTACTACCCAAGATCCATAAACCTGGAAATCCTGGGCGCCCCATCATCTCAGGCATTGGCACCCTGACAGCAGGATTGTCTGGCTATGTAGACTCCCTCCTCAGGCCCTATGCTACCAGCACTCCCAGCTACCTTCGAGACACCACTGACTTCCTGAGGAAAGTACAATCCATCGGTGATCTTCCTGATAACACCATCCTGGCCACTATGGATGTTGAAGCCCTCTACACCAACATTCCACACAAAGATGGACTACAAGTTGTCAAGAACACTATCCCCGATAATGTCACGGCTAACCTGGTGGCTGAACTTTGTGACTTTGTCCTTACCCATAACTATTTTACATTTGGGGACAATGTATACCTTCAGATCAGCGGCACTGCTATGGGTACCCTCATGGCCCTACAGTACACCAACATTTTTATGGCTGACTTAGAACAACGCTTCCTCAGCTCTCGTCCCCTAATGCCTCTACTCTACTTGCGCTATATTGATGACATCTTCATCATCTGGACCCATGGAAAAGAAGCCCTTGAGGAATTCCACCATGATTTCAACAATTTCCATCCCACCATCAAGCTCAGCCTGGTCCAGTCCACACAAGAGATCCACTTCCTGGACACTACAGTGCTAATAAACGATTGTCACATAAACACCACCCTATACCGGAAACCTACTGACCGCTATTCCTACCTACATGCCTCCAGCTTTCACCCTGACCGCACCACACCACACGATCCATTGTCTGCAGCCAAGCTCTGCGATACAACCGCATTTGCTCCAACCCCTCAGACAGAGACAAACACCTACAAGAGCTCTATCAAGTATTCTTACAACTACAATACCCACTTGCGGAAGTGAAGAAACAGATTGATAGAGCCAGAAGAGTTCCCAGAAGTCACCTACTACAGGACAGGCCTAACAAAGAAAATAACAGAACACTACTAGCCGTCACCTTCAGCCCTCAACTAAAACCCCTCCAACGCATTATTAAGGATCTACAACCTATCCTGAAGGATGACCCAACACTCTCACAAATCTTGGGAGACAGGCCAGTCCTTGCCTACAGACAGCCCCGCAACCTGAAGCAAATACTCACCAGCAACCACATACCACACAACAGAACCACTAACCCAGGAACCTATCCTTGCAACAAAGCCCGTTGCCAACTGTGCCCACATATCTATTCAGGGGACACCATCACAGGGCCTAATAACATCAGCCACACTATCAGAGGCTCATTCACCTGCACATCCACCAATGTGATATATGCCATCATGTACCAGCAATGCCCCTCTGCCATGTACATTGGTCAAACTGGACAGTCTCTACGTAAAAGAATAAATGGACACAAATCAGATGTCAAGAATTATAACATTCATAAACCAGTCGGAGAACACTTCAATCTCTCTGGTCACGTGATTACAGACATGAAAGTTGCGATATTACAACAAAAAAACTTCAAAACCAGACTCCAGCGAGAGACTGTTGAATTGGAATTCATTTGCAAATTGGATACAATTAACTTAGGTTACCTTGCATAATGACTTAGCCACTCCCAGTCTCTATTCAAGCCTATTTCCCTTGTTTTTTCGTAAACACCCCCCCAAGACATTCTTGTGAAACCCTGGATTTGTGCTGGAAATGGCCCACCTTGATTATCATACACATTGTAAGGAGAATGGTCACTTTAGATAAGCTATTACCAACAGGAGAGTGGGTTTGTGTGTGTGTGTTGGGGGAGGGGAGAAAACCTGAATTTGTGCTGGAAATGGCCCAACTTGATTATCATAGACATTGTAATGAGAGTGATCACTTTAGATAAGCTATTACCAGCAGGAGAGTGGAGTGCGGGGAGGTATTTTTTCATGCTTTGTGTGTATAAAAAGATCTTCTACACTTTCCACAGTATGCATCCGATGAAGTGAGCTGTAGCTCATGAAAGCTTATGCTCAAATAAATTGGTTAGTCTCTCAGGTGCCACAAGTACTCCTTTTCTGGTTTACCTACATAACTGATCAAACCCCTCCAGTCAGCATTATATAGAGGGATAACCATTGGTGCAAACATCTCTCTGGCATAAATTGCCAGATCTCCTCCATAGGACTGGAAAATCACTTCTTTCTGGTAACCTAAAAACACTTTGTTCTCCGAATGTTGGCCAGCCTTTAAAAAAGAAATTACAAACTGGTAACATAACCCCTGGAAGGAACTCTTTCCATCCTTGGGACACTACGAGAATTTGAATGTTTTAAAACCTTAGTGTACTTTTTTGTACCATTATTAGACTCTGCACCTTCCTCGTGGTCTGCAAAAGTTGTCTGAGAGCCAAGGATAGTCTAACAGTTGCATTCTTGGAATGCTGAAAAGTATCAAAATTGTGGCCTACAGCACTGTTATGTTATGTGGGGGGAATTCTCAAATTCTTCCAAAGGAAAAAAAAAAGTACAAAGCTAGCTTTCTCTGAATTGGCAGGACCTTCAGTTCCCGAGAGGGAAACCATTCCACCAGGAGGGTAGGAACAGCACTGCAGAGACATTAGTGGTGGAGAGAGAAGGACCCTGAAAGAGCGGCTTATAGAGATGGTTTGGAAAATCCAGGAGCATTTTGAATTCTTTAGGGCATTGGAGGATCAGGCTATTCAGCAGAGACATTGACTCACTGGTTCCCAGAGCAGGAGACCCACCATAGGGAATGGGAGAATTCCCTAATGGAAAGGCTGAGAGACCTAGGGATTGAAAAAGTTCAGGGGCTGCCTGCTGCTGTGGCCACCGCACCTGTCTCAGAACAGCCACCTCCTCCTCCAGCTGCCAGCTAGCACGCTGCTGAGCCAGAGCACCCTCTATCCAGAACACCCCTTAGTGATCAGGATGAGAACATCATATTGCCTGCAGGATTCCCTGTACCACACCCTGCACTATTACCCAAAACAATAGCCACCCACTTCTGCATTGACTTCCCTGAATCGAGTGTTCTGGCACTGGAGGGTTGGTGCAAGCTCATCACCCTGCTCATGAACATCTGTTTCCTCATTTGGAAGTTCTGAAGCCACTGGTAGTCTTTCCTGGTTTCCCAAAGGATGTGACCCCACCACAGCATACTGGTTCTCTTGCATCAGAAATGAGGGTCTACCAGAGGGTATACTGTGGCAATACTGACAGTCACCATACCTGCACCATGTGCTCTGAATGTATTGACACTGACCCTCAAGATCAGTTGTCTTCAATGTGTCAGAAAGTTCTGTCCAAATTCCGTGCAGTATCTCATCAATTGTCTGCTCCACCGTATAATCATTTGTCCTTCAGTAAGGAGCACGATCAGAACTATGTCATCATCATACTGTTGCTGCAGGTCTTCCACCAAGTTTGGCATGGAATTACAGCAAGGGGAGACATGATCAGGAACTGCCATAGGTGAAGTGTGCAGGTGGGGGACAGCACCAATAACACACACAGCAAATTGGTTCCTAGAATGTCTCCCTGTCAGCACAGAACCCTGGGATCCCTCTGCTACAATGGTAGTGCCAATGTCGCGTAACAACAGGAGCAATCTGGACGCTGACATACGCACATACACAGCATTATAGCCGTGTCAGCACAGCATATGTGGACCCGCAGCACAGGAATGGGGAGCATGCACAAGCATGTACTCGGTTAAGTAAATAAGT